CACACACCACACAGTCACACACCACACAGGCACACACCACACACACACCACACACACAGAGGAACACACACACACTACACACAGGCACACACCACACAGGCACACACCACACAGACACACCACACACACAGGAATACACCACACACCACATAGGCACACACCATACAGGCACACACCACACACACAGGAACACACACACACCACACAGGGACACACCACACACACACGAACACACACACACTACACACAGGCACACCACACACACAGGAACACACACTACACACAGGCACACACCACACACACATAGGAACACACACACACACCACACAGGCACACACCACACACACACAGGAACACACACACACAGGAACACACACACACACACCACACAGGCACACACACATACACACAGCAGCACACACACCACACAGAGAGGCTACACAGTTGGATCAGAATGAATGGCTCCTTTTATGCTCTGGGTTTCGCTGGACTCGAAATCATTAAATCCGACTCCCACATCTGCATGCAGTGGTGTTTCCTGTGATATGTTTGTAAAATAGACACTTATGTTTTATGTATGCATCTAATGCACACTGTTACACGGGCACACCTCCAACTCCATGGAAAGCTTACAAAGTGCTTCGTGCACTCACCTCTAACTCCATCTAAGGTGCGTGCAATGCCGCCTGTGCACACCTGTAACTTTAAAGCATACGTAACGTTGTGTGCTCACCTCTGCCTCTGTTCAGTGTGGTTCCCTGGACCCCTCTTCCTGAGGTTTCAGTATCTGACTTCATTCAGCTACAGGTCCAGCCCGCCATGGGCTCTGACGGGGGCCCCTTCCTACAGAAGTGTGTGTGTGTGGGGTCGGCCACGGATATTGTCTCCACGCAGCTGAAGTGAAGCAGAGAACCGCATGGGGTGGGGTGTGGGGCCTCATGTACTGCAGGTTCCACCTCCATCTCCCCACAGGTGGCCTGACTTAGGAGTGCTAGAGGTGGACACAGAACGCGTACTTTTAGGGTGCTCCCTGGGTGACTCTGACATGCAGCCAGGTTGGGCGCCACTTATGGGCAGACCCTAAGAAACACCAGGAACACGTCTGGTGAGCACTGGGCTTGTCCCACTAAGAACCTGCGGCTGCCCTGGGAGGTGCGCTCCCGTGCCTGCTGGGGGTGGAGCGGTGCAGCTCCCCGGTGGGGGAACAACCAGGACCCGACCCTGGGAGGCGTGGATTTGGGAGGACCCTGGGAGCCTGCATGAGCCAGTGGGAGCTAGGAGGTGGCGTCTACACTGGGAGCTGGACCCACACGGTGGGCATGCGGGGTCAGCATCAGTGAAATTCAGGGTGTCCGTGAACTCCGCCCTCCCGACGGCCCTGGAGCAGCTGTGAAAGCTTTGGCTCTCCCCTTTCCCCTTCTCCAGGCACTCCAGACCGCAGACGCCCCTGCACTCCCGGGTGGCTAGAGCCCGGGGACACTCAGTAAGACAGCCCTGGGCAGCTCAAAGGACTTCTTTGGCCTGGCATGGGCCAGCTCCAGGGACGCCCCCACCTTCCTCCTTAGGCATGAATGGGATTTTGTCACCAAGACATCTGCAGGACAGGGGCGCAGCCTCTGGCCACGTGGCAAGAGTGCCCCCTCAATTCATAGGTCCCACGTGCAAATGGGCAGACGGTAGCTCTGACTGGCAGATTCCTGGTGGCGTCTGAGCCCGGGGCGCTGAGGCAGCTGTCCTCAGCCTGTTCTCACCAGGCCACAGCTGTTGCTGTGTGAACGTGTGTGCACGCATGTGTGCGCTCCTGTGGCACTGTGGGGGTCATGCCCGGGGCTTGAGCATCTTCTGGGATTCTCTCCTCTCACTTCCGACCTTCTTTTCTCAGTAAATCCCATCAACCTCACCTTTGAAACACCAGGAACCCCTCTCCTTTCCTTCCCCCTCCCACTTCCCTCCGGCCTCTGTCCGGCTGTTCCCTCTCCAGCAAGGCCCTTCCCAACAACCGGGCTCCATAGACGCCCACTCGAGACGCACATGGAGGCTGCTGCCTGAGGCGGCTGAGACCTTAGTGGCCAAGGGCCCTGGCAGGCAAGGAGGCTTCCTTCCCTGACACCTGGAGCCCTGGGCCAGCTTTGCAGGGACGAAGCCTCTTGGCAAAGCCTCTGTCCCCTTCCAGGCTAGTGTGCACACAGTTCCCCTCCTGCCTTCCTTCCTGTCAGTCACGATAGAGCCCAGGGCACTAGCACTAGGATAAAGGAGGCTGAGGGATGTCTCTTCCAATACAGGAAGCTTGAATTAATTCCTGCCCCGGACTGCGAGAGGCAACCTGCTTTCTCTTTCATGGGGACAGACGTTTTCCCTCATCCAGCAAGGGTCAACTCGGCCCTCTAGGATCCTTAAAACAAAGGACAGTGATCACCCCCCTGCTGGGGCATTCCACAGGAGTCACGTCCTGGGCTCATGAGATGCAGTGAGCCACACCACAGCCCGGGCCTCTGCACTCTGCCTTCCTCGCCCGGCGTGTGGATCTCCTGTCCTCCAAGACTAAGAGTGGGGACCGGCTCCACTGCAGGAGACCTGGCCCAGGCCAGGACATGTGCCGGTGCTCGCTGAGGAATTGCTGGGGCTGTGACAGTGGGAGGTAGAGCTGTGGGGGTGCTGAGCCCAGCTGCTCTGCTCACGTTCCCAGGGACACCCACTGCGAGCACTCATGGGGCGTCAGGCCCAGTGCCAATTCTCCAGCCCAGTTTGCAGGCAGGTGCTTTCATCAGCTAGGCTCCAGGGGTGAGGTGAGGTGCAGAGGGGCCGGGGCGACCTCCTCCGTCTACCTTGATGCCTCGCCTGGAGGCTGAGTTCACAGTGCTTGCCTCAGATGAGCCTGGCAGGTAGCTGGGCTCTGTCTGTGCCTGCAGGCAGCGGGGAGGAGTCACACTGTAATGCCCTGGGCGAGTCACTCTGTCTCCAGGACGCCCCAGCTGCACCTTGGCTTTCCCCTGGCCCGGCCTCCCTTAGCTTGTCCTGGAGTTTCACCTGGGTAAGAGCGGGCCCTCTGGGTCACAGGCCTCCACCTGGGTGGCGGCATTTAAATTAAATCTCTCTTCCCAGTCATCTCTGGAGCCACCTGCAAAGGCAGCACCTCGAGAGGCTGCATCCAGGAAGAAGATTGGAGCATCTGCCATCTCTCAGCTCCTAGGAGGCTCCTCCCTTCCCAGGCTTCCCTGCCCACACCTTCGGGGCACTCCATAGGAGGGGACAGTCCCGGAGGCTGAGCAGTCCTCCAGCCTCCCGCTGCATGTGACGGTCAAAGGGTCATTGTGAGTCTGGGCCACCGACTCCTCCGGACCAGGCTGGGGCCTCTCTGCGGGACGGATCCGCCACCTACCTGTGCGATTCCTGCCGCTCTACCAGCAGGCACCATGCCAACTGTCCACCCACCTGCCTTGCTCCCCCCCTCCCTCTGGATTCGAAGGCAGGGACCTTGAGATCTGTCACGCTTTGATGACTGTGAGTGTCCATGGCCAGAGGCACATTCCCAACTCAAATGCACCTATCAGACACCACCCTAGTCCACTCTGGAATATCGGGAAAGGGGTGGGCTGCTCAAAGGCATGGTGGCTGCGTGTTAAGTGGCGCTTGTCCCTCAAAGCGCTTCTTAATATGGTCTTTAAACTGTTGATGCTGGGAAATGGTTGCCTCTTCTGACCCTGCACATCCTGATTCATGGGCTGTTTCCCCTCATTCCTGGCTGGTTCTTTCCAGAGCTGGTGGCCACGTGGCACCTTGCTACGTGCCATCCGGGAAACCAGCCGGCGAGCAGCGTTTCACGTCCCAGCCTCCTCCCCAAGGGCAGCAAGCTATTAGTTCTTCATCTGCCTGTGTGCCATCCATCAGTGATCAAACAGTTTTAACCACGTTTTCCCCGGGGTGACGTAGGTCAGCAGCCTCCCATACTCTCACAACAGCCCCAGCTTCCCCGGGCAGTGCTGCAGGCCACCCTTCCGTTGTGAAAGTAGCCCTGTCCTTTAGCACCAACATGACTCGGGATCACCAAGGCTCCTGGCGCTCCGACTTGAACGTGCAGCGGAGTTGTTCAGAGGCCCGCTTTCCGATGAGTCAGCGCGCTCCCACAGCCCCTGAGCCAGCAGGCCTGGGATGGGGCCCAGGGATTGGCACTTGTAACAAGCTGGTGCCAATGCTGCCGGTCGCCGGACCACGCCTGAGGCCCCTGGCCTTGGTTACTCAGCAGGAATAAACGGACCCCATATCAGCGGCTTAATACAACAAAAATGCGCTGCTGCTGCCCCTGCTACCTGCTCATCACAAGGTGGCAGGGGGCTCACTGGGAACCTGCTGGTGACGCAGCCCCTCCGTGAAACGTGGCTGGTGCTAGGCAAGAGGGAAGGCCACCGTCAGACTGGAGGAGTCAAACGCCATGCGGTTATCGGCGGGAAGGAGCCCCACGCCTTACCCCACCCCAGCCATAAGGAGCCAGGGAGGCTGATCCTGCTACACACTGGAAGGGTAGCACTGGAGAGCTTCCAGAACATCCCCCCAGGGCTCTGATGGCCCGGGGTGAAGAGCGAGGCTAGCACACGGTGGTGCAGATGCCTAGCAGTGACCAAAACTCGCCCGTCGGTCGGGTGCCCAGCCACGTTCTAACATCCTCCCAAGGGCACAAAGCTGTCCACGCCAGCCCCAGCCACTCCCGAGGGATGAACCGCACCTAAGGACGGCCGGGGCCGTCCCCTCCTTTCTCTGCTGTGGCCAGTGTCATTACGTCCAGCGGTCTTGGTGTCCAGGACGGTGTGCAGTCCCGTTTGGGAGGGGCCTGGCCACACGTAAGAAGATAGCCACTCACGTCTGTTTACGGTGGAAACAGTCAGCTTAATTTATTGAAAAAACTATTACAATTATTCCTTTGTTACACCGGTTTAGAATAGTTTAAGATAGCCTTTCCTGGGCATTACAATGAGAACTTACGACACGTCTATCGGATCTCTTGAAAATGTACAGGGTGTCACTTGACATTGTATTTCAAAGGGCCTGATGTCCTAGAATCTTTATCTTGCGTTTTTTTGCTTACCGTTTCTTCTTTTCACCAGCGTTTGTCCAATGATATATATATGGGGAGGAAAAAATAAAATTACACCAAAAGAATTTCTGCAAATATAAGAAGTAATTTTATTGCAATATACTGTGGCTAGGGGTGTCTGGGGAGAACGGGACACGTTTTGAAGTTCAGTACAAATTATGACAACCTGGAAGGGACCACAGAGGAAGAAAATGACAGAATCAAAGGACAAACTAGATGGGATGAGAAATCAAAACAGAATCACATGACCTAGACATAGTCCCCAGGGCATGGCGGGGCAGTCCTCGGCTATGGCTTTTCTTTTGAAGGGAGGTGAAGGTGAAAGTCACTGGCACATGCTGGCATCCTGGGCTCCAGAGACTCTGCAAGCCAGACTTTTCTTTGGCAAGAGCAAGACTTATTTTCCAGGGAAATTTGGAAAATCTGCATTGATGGTGTTTTGTTCCTCCTGGGCGGCTTGGCTGTGGCTTCCCAAGCTGGGACTACATTCTGGTGGGGGGGTAGGGGACAGCACCAGAGGGCCCAGCCTCCATTTCCCACGGGGGGAGAAAAGGGCACTGGACCCGGGCAACTTTTCACAGTGAAGACATCGCCTTTCCCAGCCGCCCCTTGGGTCCTCCGCCCACAGACGGCAGCCCCCCTGACCTTGATGGCCAGGAAAGGGTTCCCCAAAGGGGACCTCGCCCACCCGCCCTGAGCTCCAGAGCTGCTGATGCTCGCATCCAGGACATTTGAGACGGGAATCCAAATCGGCTACTGGGGAAAGAAATGCTGCAGGCAGCTCTGGAGAGACTCAGAGTTCATTGCACCATTCTCCATCTCCCGAGACAGCGCAGGGCACAACTGAACGGCTTGGAACAGACACGGAAATTAGCACCACAAACAGTCAGGAACCAAATACAATCCGCTATAGTCACGCCGATGACAATGCAGGAAGAGCTTTTTATTGCTTGTGTGTGTTTTCAAATCAAGTAGGCACAACCCAGTACTCTTTACCGCCCTCGGGAGTGGACGCGCCGGGGCGGGAGGGTGCGGGAGGCGGCGTGCTGGGCGCTCCGGCCCCGTGGAAGGGAAAGTGACATGCGTGATCTTAAAGTCCTCGACAACAGACTGTGGAGGCAATAACAGAATGAAGCAGGGAGAACGAGGCGCGGCCAGGCACCCCGGTGCGCCTTCAAGGAGACCTTAAAACAGCACCACGAGAGACAAGTGTAAAAAATAAGCACCAATTTTCATTGAGTTATCACCTACAAAAATATGTGGTTTCCCTGCCCTGGACACTCTCCCATCAGGCTCTGCAGGAAGAAAAATGGAAAAGGAAGCAAATAAAATTAATCGAAACCTGTGTTTTAGTCTAAGTGCATGTAGAAAAAGTAAAATGTTCAAAAATTTGTTCCCTCCCTATTAAAAAAAGCCTAGAGCAAATCAAAACCTGTCTGAAAGGGGAATGGTACCTGCTTTTCAATGGCAGCATAAATTCTTGCTGTCCCGGGCAAATCTCCGACTTATTGCACGTTCTTGGCCGGGGCGGGGGTGGGAAGACTTCCTATTTCTGATCAGAACTGTGCTGCAACCCAGAATCCGGGCCTCGCCCCTTCTGTCCGTAGGGCTGGGACTGGGTTTCCGTGCGTGATTGAAAGCCAGGCACACTTAACATTTATAACAATACAATACAAATATTTACTTAAAACTCACAAAAACATAAGCACCTTTAATCCATCGGGAAGGCACCTGCAGAATGACATTTGGCCTCTGAATGGACCGTGTTGGGGGTTGTTAAAAATGGAGGCTTTGGTGACGGTGGGGTGACCTTTACAAGGCTTACCTCGGAACGTTTTCTGAAGGTCAGGGGAAATACACATCTTCAAGTTGAATTTAGGAAAAAATAGAGTGTCCAAATCTGGCAGTCTCTCCCCCAACCCCTGTGAACTATTCACGAGCAGGATTGGTCAGGTGAGCCGGGGGCCGGAGGCGTGGCCCCGCTCCCGGGGCGCGTGGGTGTGGGCAGAGCATGGGGCAGGCCCAGGCGCTGGGGTGCAACTAGGTCATGTGATTCGGCTCCGGGGGGCGCGGCTCCTTCCCTCTGTTCTCTCCGGGCTGGGGTCCCACACCCTGCGGTGCGCGCTGCAGATGGAGTCAGGTGGGAGGGGAGGGAGAAGCCTTCACTGTCCAGGGTCAGAACGTGCGCGGGACACTCACGAACGAACGGCATGCTGAGGTCACGAGGTTGCTCTCGGGAGCCCGGGCTCCGCGGCTCCTAGCCCATGAAGCAAGCCGGCCCCACTTCAAATCCAAATTTCTGTGACGCTTCACCGAAGTCATTGAACATGATGTCCACGATGGGCACCTGCCCCACTCGGGGCGTGTCCAGGTCCAGCACCGTCTTCTGGTAGCCTTTCCTGGTCTGGGGAAGAGGGAGACAGGTGGCTGGTGGTTAAGAACAGTGGGGGCTCTTGGGGCTGACTGATCGCCCCCCACACCCTGGCTGGCTCCGACACCCAGGCTGGTGTCCTGACTACCCCCACAGCCACAGTTGCCCAGGCAAGTATTGGAGGAAACATGGCTGATCAGAGCTCGCAGGTAACCCCATGGACCCCTGTGCAGTGTACACTTAACTCCTTGCACAGGTGGGAGGGGGCGTGGGGTTGGCGTCAGCGAGGGGACGGGACCTTCCCAGGCTGCAGGTGCAGCTGTTCAGCCCCTCCCATCCTGCCCAGTTGGGACTCATTGTAACACCCAGGTATTTGCTTCCAGGCAGCCCCCCAGGACCCAGTGCCAGCTACAGAACAAGCAGGGCACCCTGGAAAAGAAAATGGGGGTGGAAAGAGTCCAAGGTGGCACTGGCAGAGCCTTGAGCCCCTACGACGGCCCGCCTCACACTGCCTTAGGCACGTGGTGGGCCGGGTCCCTCAGAAGTAAGAGGACTTCACCTTCGCAAGCATGGGAAGGGATGGGGACCTTACACACCGTCTGGTCCAGAGGAGTCTTGGGTAAACTGAGGCACAGAGGGCTGGGGTAGCGATGAACCAGTGGCCTGCGGGATGAGTCTGCACCAATCCCTTGCTCAAGCCAGCACAACCCTGGGCGCTGGGCTGGGGGGACAGAAGCCCGGGAGAGGTCTCCTCCCTCCCAGAACACAGGTAGCGAAGGTGTGAGATTCTTTGGTCCCTCCCCAAAGTCACCCAAATGTAACTCCCAGGGTTCAGGACATTTATACCTGAAGCTAAGCTGGCCCTGCTGGCCCGTCAGCTTCCCCCAAGACAAGGGCCCCACACGCTGCACCTTTCCCACAAGCCAGGAGCCTGCAACACATCCTGGGCAAGTGGCTGAGGCCACCTCTGACCCAGACCAGGTTTACAGTCTCAGCTGGATCTGGGCCTGGGAAGGATCTCCTTCCACTGCCCCATCCGCAGAAAAATTGATGGCGTTTGGCACACAGAGGCTCGCAAATTTGAATGTCTTGCAGACCAGAGAGATGAGCAGAGGGCCAGCCAGGGTGCCCTCCAGGGTGGGGGGCAGTGTCCCCAGGAGGCAGCCTGGCAGAGGGCCCAGCACAGGCTCCCAGGCCAGAGACTCAGATAGCAGCCCCACTCTGCCGGTGCTCTGCTCCCTGACCAACGTAGACGGCGTGGCTGGCTCCAAGGGCCTTATTCTCCCTGGCTAGGATCTTGGCGTTTGCGTTCCCGTGGATGGTGTTAGGAGGTGGGGCCAGTGGGAGCCGAGGAGGAGCCCCGTGAGTGGGATTAGTGATCCTATAAAAGAGGCCCCAGAGAGCCCCTTGCCCCCTCTCTGCCGTGTGAGGGTGCAGTCAGAAGCCAGCTATCTGCAGCCGGGAGGTGACGCTCACCGGAGCCTGCCCTGCCGGCAACCCAGCCTCCAGAACTGTGGGTGACAAATTTCTGTTGCTTGTGAGCCACGCAGCTGGTGGTTTTGCCGTGGCAGGGAGTGGACTAAGACCCTGAGCTGGGCCATCCAGCCACGCCGCTCCCAGGCCTCTGACCCTCAGACAGACTGAGATAACAAACATCTGTGGTTTTAAGCTGCTAAATTTCCGGGGCTCATCGGTGACAAGCAATGGATAAGCAACACACCGTCTGTGACTCGGTCTCCTCGGCTGGAAAATGGTTACGCTAACATCACAGGAGCGGTGTGAGAGCGAATGACAGCTCGCCTGCCCCGCACGCATTCCAGGTACCGCGTCCTGAGCATCTCTAACTTCACCCCCTGCTCGTGCCCACTTCTCCCCGACCCTGCCCTTCCCACGGGCCCGCCTTGAGGGCAGCACCCTGCTCCTTGCTGTAGCTGCCTCAGCCGGCATTGTTTTCAAGCTGGGACTGGAGCTTCGCAGCAGACGTGAGTTCTCAGGGAGCTCGTTCACCCCAGGCAGCTCTGACCCCGGCCCAGAGAGGCTGATTCCGTCGGGCTGAGGTGGGGCTCGGAATGTGCACTTGTAAAAACGGATGTCTCCGACGATTCTGATAGGCATGTTCATGACTGGCCTTTGAGAAACGCTGTCCTAAAGGACGTCACCATGGCGACCCTTGGACTCAAAAGAAGCCCACGGTTCCACAGAATGCCGAGTGTGGGGCAGACCGCACCCCGTGGCCAGCTCAGCCCTGCAGAACGCAGCTGGGAAGTGCTACTGCACAAGCCTGCCTGGGTGGCCACAGCTCTCCCATGGAGAGGGACGGCCGGGCCAGTCGCAGCCCTGCGGTGTCTGGGAAGGATGGGTGGGAGCGGGGCTAGACACGGGGTCTTCAAGGACAGGCGGCCACCCAGACCTTCCAGGGGATGAAACCCTGGGGGGGTACAGACCCCCTCATCCTCCCCGCAGCAAGGAGCCGGAGATAACCCCTGCCTGTCTAGCCCCTCTCCTCAGGCCCAGTCCCACCCTGGAGGTCCAGTGAGATGGGCCAGCCTGGCTTCACCCGGCTGCTAGCAGGCGGCGCTGTCCTGGGAGCCAGTGACCAGTCAGCAAGCTGGCAGGATGGTGCCCGGCCTTCCTTGTCCACCCCGGGAGGGCGGTCAGCAAGCCGGCAGGACGGTGCCTGGCCTTTCTCGTCCACCCCGGGAGGGCGGGCAAGCAGCCCTTCTCAGTGGAGGCATTGGTCACGGCTTTCCTTGGTGGCATCAGCCTCTCCCCGGTGGCATGGGCCACATTTGCTGAGCTGCAGGTGATTTCCCGGGATTTATGGGACCCCTCTGCTCCAATTATCAGAGCGCTTAGAGAGGGGCGTATTTAAAGTAGGCTGCGGCGAGCCGCTCCGTTACCCCGTTATTCCAGAGGCATAAATAACCATTACAGGCCAGAAACGGCCCCCAAGAGGCGCCGAAAGCTGCACAAACCCCGGGATTTATGCGGCGCAGCGCCCGGGCCCTCCTGCAGGTGATTTGTGCGTCTCCGCCGGGCCCGCTCAGCAGCCCCGTCAATCAGGCGCCCCAGCCAAACGAAGCCCACGTTGGAATTCCAATTTCTCTGGCCGTTATTACAATATGAATCACGCAGGCCTCCGGGCACTGAGGCAGGGCTTTCGCCGCTGGCCCGAGTTTGGGGCGTCAGGCCTCCTGCAGGAGCACCCGTAATTAAATGAGAGGGTTGTGACTTTTCAAATTGTGGCTGGGTTCATCAGGGACTGGGGTCAGCAGGGGACCTGCAAGTCCAGGCCAGCGTCCCTGCTTGCCACCCCACGGCCGCCCGGCGCCCCAGCCCCACGCTGCTGCCGCTGCCAGCCTCGCGCCCACACCTCCGCTCCAGCCTGGCCGCAGAGCCCGCCCTGCCGTCAGGGGTTATGCAGTTTTCAGCCGTTCTCTCTCCACCTCTTCAGAGTCAGAATCTTTGCTTTCCCAAAGTAGCGGCTTTGCCTCGCCCTGCCCAGTGGACAGTCTGGGGATCCCCATGACCCCAGTCCTGCCTCTGTACCCAGAGACACCCCAAAGACAGTCAGGGAGCTCAGGAACGCCCGCCGTGGGGAAGGGGAGAGAGCGAGCCAGGCTCTCCTCTTGGGCTGGTACCTGCCGCGCTGGGCGGCTCACCAGACCCATGCTGCCGGCTGCCCGAGGGGATGGCGCGGTCTGGACGGCAGTGGCACCTGGTTCCCAGCTTTGAGGCGCGGTCCTCAGCTCCAGCGGTGCCAGCTTCTTTGAGTTCCATGGCGGACAGGAAGCAGTGGGTCCTCTAAGCCCTTGCAGCAGGGGGACCCTCTGCGCTCCCTTCAAGCTTTTCCAGTGTGTTGAATGCTGCTTCTCCATGGGGGAGATTTTGTCCCCCCAGGAGATGTGTCTGGAGACATTGTGGGGTGTCGTCACTCTGGAGAGGGCTCCTACTGGCATTTGGCGGGTGGAGGCTGAGAATGCCAAACAGCCTGCTGTCCCCCAGTCACAGAACCGCAGGCCTGCTGTCCCCCAGTCACAGAACCGCGGGCCTGCTGTCCCCCCGTCACAGAACCGCGGGCCTGGATGTCAGAACCGCCTGGGCTGGGAAGCTGCTCCCCAACCCGGCTCCCTCTGCATGACTGATGGGACCAGAACCAGGAGACGATAGGCGGATATTACAGACGAGTAGACTTGGGCTCAGTTCTCAGAAGAGCTTCCTCATCCTGAGACTGCGGCCATGGCCTGGGCTGGCTCAGGAGGTAGTGAGACTGCCGTCAACTGAGGCATTCAAGATGCCGCTCTGCCAGGAAGGGGCTATGGTGAGAGGAATGCTGCAGAGGGAACTAGGAGCCTCAGCTCTGCCACACCTGGGGACCCTGGGCGAGTGAGTCGCTGTAACTCTCTGGGCCTCCGGCTTTGCATCTGTCTGATAGAGGGAAGGCGTGCATTGCAGTTCGCATTTGGAAGTGGGGAGTGTCTCTGGTGGGGTTTGGCACACGGAGGCTGGCATAGTTGAGTGTCTTGCAAACCAGTGGCCACGCTTCCGCAGAGGCCAGCAGCACACCCTCATCACGGGGACACCCTGGGCCGAGCAGAGGCCTTTCTGCTTGTGGAATGAAACAGATCCCAGCTTAACCCCATCCCAGGACGCAGGGGGAGCGAGGAAGTCGGGTTCTCAGTCAGAAAACATTGTGGAAGACTTCCAGGACCTCCCAGGAGCGGGCTTTGCTGATGGAATGAGTAGCGCAGGAGCTTCAACAGGAGCTGGGATGAAAGAAGTTGGTTCTTCCAGAAAGTTCTTAAAAGCAGCAGGAGCCTGTCTAAGCCAGATTAGGGAGCCAGGATCTGGCCCACCCTTTAACCTCCACGTGTCCCTCACAGGATCCATCTTTCTAGCATTGTCTTCCAGGAAACATTCCCCTCTCTGGAAAGCTGTTCCATTCCCTTTACCAGACAACACCCACTGGGCCAACTAGTTTCCCTTTTTGCCATGGAAGCCAGGAAGCTCAAAGCCAAACTCAGGGCTCTGTCCCTCCAGGTCCTGCCTCTCCTTTACAGGGTTCCTGATTTCTCTTTGCCTCCATGTTTACTGCCTTACACTTGTGGTCCATAGTATCTAAACATAGTCACAGGAAGTAGGGCTTTAGTGGGTCAGACACAATTCTGAGCTCTGAGGCGTGGTTTCGTGGGCTCCCCAGAAAGCCCTGTGAGGCAGGTGCTATGTCATCCTCATTGGAAGAGGAGGGTAAGGTCCCCGGTGTTTTTAAATGCCTCTTCCCAGGGACGTGGACCGTCACTCTCACACACAGCTGAGTCAGCATATTCCATAGTCACATCCGAAGCACTGACCCTGACCAATCGCAGAAGGCAGTGGAGTCCGGGAGGAGAGGCCGAGCAGTCCTGGTGAGGACGGCCCCCACTGGGCACAGCCTGGCCGGGCAATAGCCCCGGGGGACATGGCTTTAATCCTCAATGAGGCCCTCGGGCAGCAGAGGAAAGGGGCGGAGGGTCAAATGCAGGTATCCGCAGCGGTGCTGGGCAGGGGAGGAGGCGGGATTGGAACCCGGGGCCACTGTGCTCCCAGGGGCCTGGCACTCTCCGTCCGCGCCACCCTCTGGCTTTCCATCCTGCCTAGGCTCTACGCTGAGGACCCATCTGTTCTGCTCAGAGGAGGTGCCCTGCAGGGCCGGCTCTAACGCCGGTCCCGTTCCCCTCAGCTGCCCTGGGTCAGTGCCATGGCGTGGACATCTGTCCCCTCCAAATCTCCAGGACAGGTGGCCACATCCCAGACCTGTGCAACGGCCCTGGGTAGACGGCAGCCCTGGGAGGGGCAGTCCCGAGGGGACCGTGGCGGGGGTGAGCCCAGCTCACTGGGTAGGGAGGAGGAACGGCGTGGATGTGGGAGGCCCACGGTGGGGCAGAAAGACAGGGGCACCAGGGCCAGCACCTGGCCTGAGTGCCCGTGAGGTCTGAGCAAGCCTCCCTCCGCTAGGGCCTCCGTTCCCTCATCCAGGAGCAGAACCGCTCTCCCCGCGCGGGGGGCCCATGGCCCGGCCGTCCAGAGAGCTGGCATCTCAGCCTGCAGAGCGTTTCGGGCGCAGCCGTGCTCTCGGGAGCAGCCCCGGCTCAGTTCTGGCCACTCCCCAAAAAGCCCTGTCCGAGCAGAGGGAGGCTCTCAGCTCAAAACTGGAAGCACAGTGGGGTCCTCACTTCCTCACTCCACGCCACAGCCCTGGACAGGGCGAGGGACCGAGGACCCCGGCTTTTCGGCCAGGTCTCAGATTTCCCATCCTGACCCGCAGAAGTCTCAGAAGTTCCCGGAGCTCTGGTACCTCGTAGACTTAGGATTCCTCGTCTCCCTGCAACTGTGGGGCTGCCTGGGGTGAGAGCCTGGTCTGGGGCCCTCACCGCCCTGCAGTAGGCAGAGTGGGGACGGGCAGACCTGTGCAAGGGAGGTGTGAACCCCACGTGGGCATGAGCGGCGGCGCGGGGGCGGCGCGGACACTCACAGCACAGCCGTCCACCAGGGCGTGGATGTAGGGGTTGTTGTCATAGGACATCTCCTCGTCGTTGGAGCCCAGGAAGCGGATGGCCTTGTCGTAGCTGCCCGTGGCTGCGTCCTGCCAGGCCACCGACTGATAGCAGTGGTAGGTGACGTTCTGGTGGGCAGAGGCGCTCAGCAGCCGCAGGAAAGTCATCTGGACCACGCCCACGGGGTTGCCCTCGGCGTCCACGTAGGAGAGCTGGGGGGACAGCAGGGTTAGGGCTCAGCAGGGCGGGGACACACACAGCAACAAAGGCCTGCATCCGCACTGCCCTGGGCTTCACCCACACTGTGGCCTTCTTGAGGGCACCACCTAGAAACACACTGCACCCACAGACCCCCCGAGGCCAGCACACATGGGCTCTCCTGGGCATTCCCAGGAACAAAGGAATCCACGCCTCACATCCTTCAGGGCCTTAAATAATCCACCCACTCCTCTTGGCCCATGCTTATCCTTCAGAGCGCAGCACCTGTGCTGCCTCCTCCAGGAAGCCTACCCGGATTAGATGCTCCTGCACTTGCTCCGTGGCTGTCCTCCTCAACCTTAGTTTGTCAGTGTCTGTCTTCCCTACCAGACTGTAAGCTCGAACGGGGCAGGATGGCATCCTTCTTGCTCACTACTGGCCTTGGTACCCACTCGATGGCTGCCCCAGTGTGCACATGACAAAGCTCTGCTGCATGGCCAATGACGGCCAGCGTCTCCAGGGCAGCACCCACTGCAGTGCCAGCTGAAGCTGCCCTCCCTGCACGTCCACCCGTAGCCCTCCTCCCCTCCCGCCACCTGGGCGCCTCCATCCAGATGGTGATCTAGGTCTCCCCGGTCTCCATGTGTTGAGTGAACAGAGAATCACTCTCTAAAATACGCCTTGCATGAAGACCAGTTCTCTCATCCCTGAAACACAGAGCTCTTCACGCCACCACTGGATCGGGGCACTGGGAGTGGCAGGCGAGGCCTGGTTTCCCCTGAGTAAGGGGTGCAGGGCCAGAGAGGGGCGCGGGGTTCCCTGGGTGAGCGGAGGGGCGTGGAGCCCCCAGCTGCAGCACCCCTCTCCTGATCCCTGAGCCTCTGCACGGCTCCTCCCTCTGCCTGAGACACTGCCCGCCCCACCCGCAGGAGGGGCCCCACTGCTGTCCTTTGGGTGACAGCCCAGACCACTGCTCCTCCCCACCTCCAGCCTCTAGGGCTGGCTTAGGGCATCCCAGCCCTCCCTGTGTCCCTCCACTGGCACCTGGCGCCCTGCTCCTGTCATCATCCCCCAAGGCCAGCGAAGGAGGGTGCTCACAAGATTTTGTGAACAAACGAGCATCTGCCAGGTGCCCAGGATGTGCAAGGCCCTAGCCAGGGAGCCCGTGAGAAGCTGGAGCCAGAGGGGGCACGAGGCCTCGGGGGGTGAGTGGGCCAGCTGCAAGGAGGTGCTAGGGGAAGGCGAGCCTGAGGGACGGTCAGGGCTGTGCGGGTGGCGGGGGTGACCGGGGCCCTCTGGAAGGCACGGGGGTCTCAGATGATGTCTGGCATGGCCGCTCCAGAAAGGCCACTCCTCCCCTTCCCAGAAGTGTCCCCTCAGGGCTGTGCGCAGGACTCCTGCAGCCGGGGTGGCTTCATCTGCCTTGCCCATAACGAAGGCCAGCCCGGGGCTCTAGTGACAAGGACTCTCCCTGAAAGCCTCCAGTGAAGGCATCAGAGGAGGACACTGTGCAGCTTCTGAGGTGGCGTCTCCAGCATCCCGAGCTGGGTAACCGGAACCGGGCTGCTCAGCTCCGCCAGGGGCAAGGCCCAAGCAGGACACCCTGAGCGATGCTGCGTCTCACTTTCTGCATCTCTGCTGCAAACTCAAGGTTTCTGAAAATCCTGACATTGCCAGGGACACGGATGCATCTTAGCTCCCCTAAGTGAAGCACACATCTCTCCCGGCCTGTGCGGGACCTCTCTGCAGGGAGGGCCTGGCTGGGCGGGCCCGCCTGTCCTGTTTGTGGCGTCGGGGAATGAAGCAGGTTAAAGCCACCGAAGCCAGCGCCTGAGACCTGCTCTGCACACGCTGGGTGCCGTGTTTCGGACCCTGCCTCTGGCCTGCTCCGAAAGAACCCCACCGAACATGTGAAGGGAACTGAAATCAGTATTCCCACGAGTGTCTGGGCACAGGGAGTGGGAGGAGGCTGAACACACCACAGCACCCACTTTTCAAACAGATGTCACTAGAAAGAACCCAAGGCGAGCGGCCGGCCCAGGGCCTGGGCCTTCCCAGGGGCGAGGGAACGGCTGCGGCCCCAGGGCCATCGGCGAACTGGGCTCTCAGGCACAGCCACGAGAACCTCACAGGTGGACCTTGAGGTGAACAGTGCATACCGACCGACAGAGGGGCGTCCGTTGCTCCTTCCGGAGGGAACGTGACTGACTGGAGGAAGGGTGTGCCACAGAAGCAGCGGTGGGCGGCGCCGCACACAGAAGGACCTGAGGCCCCGGTGCCATGTGGTGGCAGGGGGCAGGGGCAGGGAACACGCTGCCCGTATCGGAACCCCAGGGCCCTATGCTGAGGCCCTGCTCTCCTGGTGGGGGGTCTCTGCGGCATTACAACACGCTGCGTCGTGGGTAGCCCTGCCCAGGTAAAACTCCCATTTCTGTTCTCAGATGGAGTCTGGCTCTGTCCCAGGCTGGGGCGCAGAGGCGTGATCTCGGCTCACTGCCTCTAGGCTTCCAGTGATTCTCCTGCCTCAGCCTCCCGAGTAGCTGGGATCACAGACACCATGCCCGGCTAATTTTTGTACTTTTAGTAGAGATGGCGTTTTGTCATGTTGACCAGGCTGGTCTTGAACTCTCGACCTCAGGTGATCTGCCTGCCTCAGCCTCCCAAAGTGCTGGATTACAGGAGTGAGCCACCATGCCCAGCCCATTTCTGTATTATTATTTTTAATGGGGAGGGAGTCTTGCTATATTGCCCAGGCTGGTCTCAAACTCCCAGGCTCAAGTCATCTGCCTGCCTTGGCCTCCCAAAGTGCTGGGATTACAGGCATGAGCCATTGAGCCCAGCCAAAAACTCCAGTTTCTTTGAGAAGAGGCCCCCATCTTTCTTGAGAAGAGGCTGGAAGTAAGGCCATGGAAAGACCCTGAAGTAAGGGGACGTGTTCCCTGGGTTGCCCCTTCCCCCACCCCTCACCAGCTGTCCGTGGAACAGGACGAGAGGCGGAAGTGGGCCACTTGGGCTGAAGGCTACAAATGAGGAAAATACAAGGAAATTGGGCTCTTTCTCCATTTCCATTTGGGAGGGTGCTGAGAGGCTCTTTGTGGAGGCTGAGCGCTCTCATTGAGGGGAGAGGGCAGGGCCGAGGCCGGGTGGTAACTACCCACAAGACTGCAGAACAGACCCTGCCACCGCGGCCCCCAGCAGCCTCACCCCCAGGGCCCCTTCTCTGCCTGACCCGCACCCAGCATCCCCTACGCTCTGTCCCTCTGGGCCAAGCAGCCCTGGTCCTGGCGCCCCCGAGAGCTTCAGGTCCTTCTGTATGCCAGCAGCTCTGTTTGGAACTCAGCACAGAGGAGGTGGGAGAAGGAAAAGCAGAAGGAGGAAAGGAAAAACGGGACTGCAAATACACAGCAAACCACAACACGGGAAGCCCGCAGAAACGTGGCCAGGTGAGCGCAGACCCTCAGAGCGTCTGCAGAGGAGCTGGCAATGACTCGACATCAGCAACAACGAGAGCACAGGGATTAATACCCAGCCGTGAATGCCCTCAGGTTACGAGACGAGGGGCTTCAGAGGTGCGGACAGGGCAAAGGCGGCTCCGGGCCGGTGCTCTGGGTCCTTGGGGGAAGGATGGCCTCCGTGTCCACCCAGGGAGGCTGGGGCTATGGCCAGGGTGCAGCAACCATCGGCAGTGGTCAGGCTAGAAGAAGCAGAACCCTCGGGCTTGCTTCTGGTGAGCATTTCAGAGTGGGGCCACTAGATCCCAAGAAGGGAGGGAAAGAGAAGGAGAATCTGGGCCATAAATGGCACCCCGAGCCCGTCTGTGTTCTAGAACTTTGGTCCTTTAACTCGCTGGGAGAAGGGACAGGACTCCAGGAAAGGGCCCAAGGCAAACTAGTGGGTTCCTAGGGGAGCTCCACGCGGCACTGTGGGTTCCTAGGGGAGCTCCACGCGGCACGGTGGGTTCCTAGGGGAGCTCCGTGTGGCACGGTGGGTTCCT